GTTGAGCCTCAACACCTTCTGTGCAAAATGATGTTCTTCCCAAGCATTACCATGCATGATACAATTGTTCTCTCCACCACCAATCTCTAACCATGCATTTGTAAAAGTGTATAAACAAGAGTGATGAAGGCTCAGATGAGCCCCTGATATTGAGTTTTGCCATCTGTAATCAAATGTTGGCAAGATTTCTACATAACTCAACTTGTCATTGTGTTCTGGTATGAAAGATACATTAGGATCTTGTACAAAAGGTAGACTGTAGACTAACTGTCATTAAAGATGCTCAGACAAGCTAAACCTTCGCATGATAATCTTCAAAAGTTCAATGTGAAATAAAAGAATGACTGCAAGTATGCAAGAAAGACTCTGGCTTCCTTACTTGCACTATTTAAAACATTCACTAACTGTGGCGCACCCAAACTTGCCGGGTTAATAACACCCCTTATGGGCAAACATGTCTGGCGAATAGCCACTTGTAAACTGTGGAGAAGACAGTCATGCTTTTTTTCGGCCATTTTCTGTTGTCTTACGACCTGTTATGTTAATGTGTGAAAGAAACATTCAGTACTTTCGACTGTTTTCACCAGCTAGGTCAAGAAGCCAGCAGCCACATCAAAGGGCCTACTTAAAGCATTTCACCATTCACAAGTTGGCCACACAAAAAAGATGTGGCTTCAACCTAGGAAAACAATACTTCTATGCATCTCATGTGCTGCATGTCTCTTCCCATTCGCACAGCAATTGCCAAATGCACCCAGCCCACCCAAATGTTGCTGTCATCAACTTCTTATTGGAGATAGTTCAACTGGTTTTGTTAACCAGCATGCTATAAGGATGATTAATCCAGAATACAACCATCAAAAACCAAACCAACACCAAGTACACAAGGTAGGCACAGGCAACAAAGAAGGTGCACTTCAAATATGTTTTAGTAGACTGCATTACGTATTTCCCTCTTGCTTCAGGATGAGCTCTCGACAATGTTGTATAACACCTATGAACAAAACATGAACCTGCATAAGTTAAACACACTATACAGGCATATATCCATTTTCAGAAACTCGTCTAACAAACAGCAGTTGGTCCTCATAAAAACTTGCGCTAAATTTACATTCACAGGTAGTGTCAGAACTATTCTTAGGATTGCTAAAACCATACACAATGCTAATTGATATATATATATAGATAATGTGCTGTATGATGAGTAAAATCAAAACAAAATAATATCAAAATGTTTTTGTTTTTGCAGATATAAACATAAGGCAAGAACCAGTGTAATATGGCCACATCATTAGAACAAAAGCGAAAACAAGGACTGAAATGACATAATGAAGTAAAAAAAAAGCCTTACTGGTCCTTAAAATGCAGCTTGTATGCAATAAAGCCTAGTAAAAGTACAGAGTCTGAAAAATTAAAATATAAAGTTCACTGAATAATAAGGAAGAGCATAAAAATATATAAATAAAGAAATCTTTGGGCAGTCTACAAATAACAAGAAATAAATGCAGCAACAACAAATACTACTGTTGAAGATGACAGTAGCTTCACATAAATAAACACAAGCTCAACTGCATACAAATTTGTCATCCCGAGATACCTTCGTGTTAAATAGATGATTTTTTTTTCCACCATTATACTGTCACTACAACAGTGGCTATATGTCCTCCTCCCAGCAGTACAACACCATATAGAAATATCTGTAAAAAGACTCCGATTACAGCAGTGGCCGCAAAAGATATGCGACATGCATTACATATGCAACAAGATATATAGTAGTATATCATTGCACACGACAACACTGCCAGACAGCACTGACATATGTTACGTTTTCATGGCAGGCAGAACACTCAACAACCAGAACACTCAGAAATAAAACAGTATTTTCTTTTCACGAAGCAAAGAACAAACGATTTCACTAGTAAAAACCTGACATGCTTTAGCTGAGGCATTAAATCTAGAATTCAACTCGAGGAAAGCCCTAGACCATATGAGCCTATTGTTATGACAGCACAGCCTTCTAAAGATTGAAACACAATATGCATGCTGTTCTTTTGGTATACAAGTAGCTAAATAGTAATAAACAAATATGCATTTAGCATGCTCAATGTTTGTTCATGAAGAACAGAAAGACATACAGTTGCTGATACCATTTTTATGGCACTATGTCAGTAAGCTAACATCATGTGTGGAATAAAGAGATAGGAACATAAAACTTGGGCTCAATAATCAGGAAAGCCATTTCACGTGATCATTACTCTGACTAAATTGTTATTCGAGACATACTCTATTAAAGGGGTACTCTCCTTCTTTTACAAACACATCTCAAACATGCATAGTGGACTAAACTTCTAGGCATAAAACACTTCTGCTTCAGAACATCATTTCAGGTAGGCTGGCACTCGCATGAAATACGAGGTCTCATCAGACTGTAGAAACAATCATGCAAATGAAATGTAAACAAGCAAATGAAAATTAACCTCCAATAAAGATTACAGAAAGAATATGAATGCAGAAGGAGATACGGCTCTTCCAATCAAGCAGGCAACACTTAAAATTGACAGAATGGATGTGACAGGCCACAAAACTATAATTACCAACAGCTAGAACCAAATATGCAACACTGAAAATAATTATCAAGAACTACATTTCATAAAATATTGTTTTCAAGCGTCAAATGATACAATGAGGATAGGAATATTGAACACTGTCTGACTGCGTCAGCCAGGTAGCGTAAATCACAAACAACCAAGCTATTTCCATGCCAGGTACAATATTGTTTCAACAAGTGCACCTCAAACACAAAAGCAAAGATGTGTGATAAGCACTTAAAAAAGGTTAAGCAACTACCACTTCCAACTGATGAGACCGACTTTCTCCGTATAATACATAAACAAAGAAGCCTATAAAGGCACAAAGAATAAACCCCATCTGTCGCACAGTGTACATCACTGCAATCTACATGAATAGACTTTCTTGGAGGTCATATAAAGAAAATGAGCATAAGCACCCAATTAACGAGACGTCCTAAGAAGAAGAAAATGGACAGAAGAATCAAGCAAGTACGGTGTTTTTGGCAGACTACTGAGCATGCACAACGCAATGTATAAAGAACGTCTCACATGAAATCATTGCAGTGCTATCTGGAAGAGAGACAGCTCAGAAAAAGCAACATTGGAAGCAATGTTGATTGCTAATTTTCTAAACATCAGAATAAATACAATAATGATAGATTAGCCACTTCATGTGACTACTTTCTAATCATACAAGAAACAATAGGGAGATTGGAAGTAACATAACTTCAGGGAAAAAAGAATGTTTTCTACCAACCAAAGTCAATGTTTTACTAGATTTAAATAGATGACTAAAATACAGTTCAGCTTTATGGCAAAACAAAAAAAGTATGATTACTTGGTAAAGCTATGCATGTCTTGGAATACTCTTAAAAGGCAACTTAAAACTGATGATGACCGATTCCTTTGTATGACAACCCCATTATGAGCCTGCTGAGACGAATTTTTTTTTCCAATCAATTCCTCTCTACCTTTACATCTGCATCAGCCGTGTAACAACACTTTGGGTAGAATTAGCCCTCTCAGCACCGCTTTCACTTGGACGTGCAACTAGGCATTATCATCACCACACAGGCTGCTTAGCATACATTGGAAAATTAAAGAAATGAAGCAAAAAAGTGCTGCCGTTACTTGGGTTAAAGAAAAGAAAAAGAACCCAAGAGGTGATTTCCAGAACAAATAGCAATATTATAGTTAATGCACATGCAGGCACAAAGCAATAAGTGTGCATAGTGGCAACAGAATTTGCCGCAGCAAACCAACTTTGCATCCACACATTGAAAGTGACCCAGCGTGCTGCACCAAGTAATTCTGAATCAATAACTGAGTAGAGATGGTTAAAACACTAAGAACGCTAAACCCGCAGAAACATAGCCTGTTCACCGGAGAAGAGAATACGCCTAAGAAACTTTTCACCAAAGTGAAATCCTCAATGCAGCATAGCCCTGGAAACACTAAAAATCCTTTTCTGGGACATTCACAAGCACATATACCTAATGTAATATTGCCAGCAAATAACACTTAATGACTAATGTGCAACACAATGTAGAAAATGCCCTAGATTCATAAATTTCACAGTTTTGCATAATTGTTTCAAAAGTGTAAAAAGTAAAAGAGATTCCCGAGAAGTAATGCTCTAAAAGCTGTACCTTGTTCTGAACAAGTTTCCTGAACATAGAATATACTTTTACAGCGCAAACATAAAACGATCCACAAAGAAAGCGACGACACACACCGTGTGTCGTCGCTTTCTTGTGGTGTGTGTCGTCGCTTTCTTTGTGGATCGTTTTATGTTTGCGCTGTAAAAGTATATTCTATGGCTATGAACCAACTAGGCCCAAAAGAAGTTTTACTTAAGTTTCCTGAAACATTCTCCAATCGTACCGTGACAAAGAGTAACTCGCGAAACCAACCTGAAAACATCTCTGAACACAAAAGTAGAGTGCGACAACAGACAATACAGACAGGCGTCTTCTTGTGTCCTGTCCTTTTGCGTAGTGCTTTTCATTTTCAGACAACGCACCAACTTGCACAGTAGAGCATTCTGTGAAAACAACCCAGTGGTTAAAACCAAACTGGAAACCAAGAACCAGCGTTATGTTGTGCTAAAGTATTTGCATTAACACCGTAGTATATTTACCTAAGAAAATTATGCACAGGGTCACACAAGTGAAATGGCTTTCAGTACGAATGTAAGCTGTCTCCAGAAGTGACAGAAAAAAAAGGAGTATGAAGACTCTATGATCTCTTCACATTTAATCATTACAATACAGGAAGAAAGGTCAATTCTAAATTAAGTAAAAACCCTACTGGGACTGTAGAAACTGCAGTAATTTCTTATTGCGGCATGTATGAAAAATTTCTTTTACGGGCGAAGCAGGCAGAATGTAAAATTTCTGAAATATGGGTCAAGAAAAAAAAGCAAACTCGTACGACTCCAATATTTTTTTTTATTATTTGTATTTTCATATGTCGCTTGTAGATGCAGTTTTATAATTCAATGTGACGAAAGCAACTTATTACATCCATGTCGCTAATTTTTAAATCATTATTGTCTCACAAAAAAACTAACAAGGAAAAAATATTTTTATGCATACAAGAAGCATGCATTGAAAGCCCCTTTAGCGAATCGGACAGCCAGATGAATTTTTTCGTTTCTGTCCATATCACTTGAATACATGCAGAAAGCCACAGCAGAAGAAAAATGCTAAAAGTTCGTGGCAAAAATCACATATAAGTCCAATTATGTTCAAAAGAACAAAAAAAATCTCTGGCAGCCTTTTGAAAGGTCCTCAATCGCAATTCTCAATTCACAGACTCAGGAGACAATTGAGGCAAGACTCTTGATAAAATATTTAGCATAGAGATCCACAATCAGTAAGCAAAAAAGTTACAAAGACCAAAATTATTAAAAGAGAATGAACCAAACTAATAAATTACTGCCCAAGACAGAGATCATTAACTGTCAGAAAGATAGATGTATAAGAAATCAGATCAACAGGGCAGTTTCAAAGCATTAGTTGTGTCATCAATCGGTGGGTGTGTGCGCTTGCAGAGGCAAGGTGGCCTCCTCCGGCAAAGGCGTTCGGCGGTATGATGTTCGGGTGGCCAAGTACACCACCATGGCCGCAAAGCACACCATGCACAGTGCTATCATGTGGCCCAGCACCGCCTCACCAGGCAGCGTCTGGTAGTTTGCTTTCCTGCACACATGAAAGCAACGCTGTTGTGTAAGGTAGACTTGCAGAAACACGTGGTGCTGAACAAAAATAGTGAATAATTTCCAAAAAGGCTTGCCACTACCATGCTCAGGAGTAAACAATCATTGATTATTAACAGGTTCATTAACTTTTTGTACATATTTCTAAATCAAAACAGTTGCAGTAATACTTAAAAGATGAACAAGGCATTTGACTGTCAAAAGGTATAGGAGTGCAAACAAATTTTGTACAGACAGAGCCATCTGTGGCCTCTTGGTGAAAAGTATATACATATGTGAATGATTGATAATAAGACAAAACATTTGATCAATAGTGGCTATTGCTGAACTCCCGATCTACAGCAGACTCTCAGTAAACGAAACCTGAAGGGACCGGCAAAATATGTTCCATTCAACAGGAGTTCCATTTACTGAGAGGTGAACATGGGTGCAGAATAAAAGCCTGAAACCGAGGATTGCCGAGGCCAATAGTTTCGTTCAAGCAGTAGTTCCGTTTAACAGATTTACGTTTACTGAGAGTCTACTGTACTGAGAATACTCACAGTCATAGGGGTGAAAGGTATATTCACTGAACAAAAGTTGTTCTAGCAGATCCCGATGACTAGGTGTTTGAACAACACTACCCCTCATTGAGAAGAGTTAGGGATAAGAGTTAATGGAGAGTAAGCTGCATTGGCTTGATGTCAAGGGATGAATTACAACTCATGATTACTGAACTGATCAAGAAAAGCAGAAAAGTTGGTCGGAAAATAAATATGCACAAAACTAAAATAATGTGCAACAGTCTCGCCAGAAAAGAGTGCTTTGCGATAGGTGGAGAGACACTGACAGATCTAAAGGAATATGTATACTTAGGACTGGTAGTAATCATGGAGCCGAACCATGAAAGTGAAATAACTAGAAGAATAAGGATGTGGTTGATCACATTTGGCAAGCATTCTCAAATAATGAATGGTAATCTGCGACACGCCCTCAAAAAGAAGGTATATAAATGCTGCATCTTGCCAATACCTACCTACTGAGTAGAAACCTGGAGGCTTACAAAGAAGGTTCAGCTTAAATTGAGGACGACGCAACAAACGATGGAAAATAAAATGGTAGGTGTACCCATAAGAAACAAGAAGAGAGCAGAGTGGGTCAGGGAACAAACTGGGGTTAAGGATATCATCGCTGAAATCAAGAAGAAATGGACATGGGCCGGGAATGTAGCACATAGGCAGGATAACCACTGGTCCTTAAAGGAGCAATGACGTCAAATTTCAAGATCGAGATGGGCCCATCATTCGATAGCTTGGTATGCATAGGTCTTCTTGGGCAAATTTGAACGGCATCCGTCGCGTGTAAGTTATTTTAATTCGATGTCAAACAGCATAGAAAAGCTAAGGAGAAAAAACGGAAAATAGACTGCCCTGCGACATCGACACTAGTGCTACACGTTCGGCATGGTACATTCCACAAATACCCTCCTGAGTGGCAATGCCCTTGTAGCGATGACAAGTACGATCCGAGTGTTCTTATCATGGCGCCCACTGGTGCCGAAGTGCAGAAACGCACTCGCTCGTCTACAGCGGGCTAGTGAGCGCAGGTGCAGTCTAGCCCGGCCGTGGCTCGTGGCGTCTGATCTTCATCACACCGGTTTGAATGATTACGCGAAATTATCAAGATAAAAACCACCTTTAAAAGAATATCGAAAGAGCATGATTAAACGTGTGCTTGTCGGTCAGCATGTCGGGGAATCGTTGTGAGTTGCATGTGAGTCGCAGTCGTCTAGTTTGAAGCACAGAAAAAGCACAATCGGGGTGTGTTGTCATATCACGTATGTGTTACACATCAACACGACTACAAGCTATCAAACGTGGAAGAGCGTGTAGTCAGATATCATCAGCTAACAAGTAAGACACAGGTATCATTGAAGTTTAGTTCATCTGTAGACTTTGCATACACGTAAAAGTGGTAATACGTAGGTGTTCTGTGGTAATACCGTGTTAACCGCGAAAGCTGGATAGGTGGGACCATCTGGAGGCGCAAAAAAGAACCTGACAAGCAGAAAATGTATTCTATTTCTCTGCTGATGCTCATTCGCGGTAGCTATATTGCATTGACCCCTGTGCGTATACCGGAATGCTTTGCATGACAAAACACACCAACATAGCTGAGACACACGAGCGAACATGGCTGAAGCATGCATCCTTGGGCACCTCTCCAGCGCTGCTTAGAACAGCGTCCATTTCAGAATCACTGTTTCGCAAAAGGTTGATCGAAGGAAAACTAATTCACGACGTCGCAAATCGCGGGGATTCGAAGCTCCTGACTATCGTATTGAATCCGAGCCGACACTTTGTACGGCTACTACAGCAATGTAGGTGATAAGACATGACTGAATGTGTCCGCCTAGCAGACGAAATGTTTGCGTAGCAGCTGAGCCTGACGTCACTCTTTTCTGTAAAGAAGTGGTCAGCTGTGGCGTGATCTGGAGGGGACCGCGAAGTAGCGCCACTGCTGGTGCTCCCAGCGCTGAAAATGGCGGGATTGCCGGCCGTTTTTGAATAGTGCTAGATCCCAGTGATATAAATCAATAAAAGTGATAGTATTGATCTCTCTGTTGTGTTTCAGGTCGTGAATCGCTGCTACAGTGTCTATAGCTACTCGCTGACGCAAAAATCTTGGCATGAGTAAATTTGATGTCAGTGCTCCTTTAAGGGTAAATGAATGAATTCCCAGAGAATTCGAACACACAAAAGGGAGACAAAAAGTTAGGTGGGCCGAAGAGATTAAAAAGTTTGCAGGTATAACGTGCCAACAGAAAGCACAAGACCGGGTTGATTGGTGGATCATGGGAGAGGCCTTTTCCCTTCAGTGGACATAGTCAGGCTGATAATGATGATAATGACCCCTTGTAGAAGCACACTTGGGACTTAACACACCACAACAGAAAGCAAAAGTCACTTGTTGACTTCATGCTGACTTCAACACGGTGCTAAGAACCTCTGTTGGTCTTGGGGTTGACAATGTTCACACTTTGAAGATATGCGCTTTGCGACAGCATGTGTCTTACAATATGAGTATTAAAAATCAAATTAAGTAAATGCTTGCATTAACACAAAAGTGTTTTTCGCCAAACTCCACCAAGACTTCACTGACATATTTTCCTCACAGGTATGACGTCCATAAAATAACGCACGACAAAGAAAAAGACAGAATAAAAATTTCTGTTGCCAAGAATCACACACACGAGTTGGCGGTGATAGGTGCCCAACGCTTTAAGCTACGGGTGCACGAGGCTCTACCCATGGGCCTCTCACACATTCTTTCTGAGAGCACAGGGCTTTTGGCTGAGTGGTAGGGTCGGGTGGAGCGGTGAAGTGCAGTATCGTAAAATTATACAGAGCCAATAGGAGTGATATGAGGGAGTAACGCTAATCGTTCATGCCTCGTTTTTCCACATTCAAGCCTCAACCTATGAACGTGTGCCTCTTGTGTTATTGAAGCGCAGTGTGGTAGCGCACACGAGCACAGGCATATTACTAATGAGCACACAGCTTGTCAATTCTCTTATCAAATTAAGTGCTTTAAATGAGTGCATATCAAGTACCAGTATTCATCATGTGCTTGTTGGTACCATATTATCATACCGGATGTGTACATGTGCATGTTGAATAGTAAGCTATCACAAGGGTGAAATCATCATCACAGACAATAGTCATCAGGATTTAGATGTGCCACTAAGCATCCATGTCAAACGGTGCTATAACGGCCAAGCATCAAGAGGCACTGAACAAGCTCTCATATCAATGTACTTCTGTGAAGACGCGTTTCACTCTCGTGCTATACCTATTTCTACGGCAGTGGGATCAGCCATGTTTTTTCAGTCAGAATTAGACAGATGGCACCACTTTGACTCTTTCGTTACCGTGGAAAATTTAGCCACATTTTGTATGCTATAGCAATTACCCAGACGAAAATTTGAAGCGGGATTTCAAGTGGTCCTGTACCACTTGCTTTAAAGTGGAAATTCAAGCTGTCCAAAGAGGTACCACTTGCTATCAGATGGCCATTGAGGTGGTGCCACTTGCTTTCAAGTGGAAATTCAAGCGGTCAAAAGTTGTGCCACTTGCTATCAGGTGGATATTGAGGAGGTGCCACTTGCTGTGAAGTGGTTTTCAAAGTCGTACCACTTGCTCTCAAGTGCCCATTAAAACGGCACTACTTGTACGGCAACTGGTCCCACTTGCTTTCAAGCTGTTACTGAGATGGCACTACATGACCGACACCAGCTTGCTTTCAAGTTTCCATTGACGGTGACGTGATGCAGATTGACCACGCAGTACATGGGCCACGACTGGTTCGATTTGCTTTCAAGTGGCTATTCAAACTGTGTCATTTGAACCACAATGAACTTGTTAGGTTGAATCAAACTGATTGGACAGCTAAGTGGCCCATATCTTGCTTATCATTCTTACTAGCAAGACAAGAATTAGTATTATTTGCAGTCACATGGTACCTTAATTATGGGAATAGCAACTAGCTAGATCTCTACTATTGTTAAGATGGCCTTGCATGATCATCGCACGTATATCGGGCACAATTGACAACCATTATACACCCAGGCGCATGCGTTTTTTGTGTTGTAAAATAACTAATGCTGTGGAAACAATGTACTTTTATTCTATAGCCTTGAAGTAGATGTGCGCCACACCAACATGTCGAACAAATCTTGCTAATCTAAACATGAAAGGAGGTGCTTGCAAAGTTTGCTCATACTGAGCCATCGTGCGAATGATTTGTGCTTAAAACGTTGTGGTCACTCCCTATGAAAAGAAGCTTTTTTTTTAACATTTGCTACTATCTTCCACAATCTAAGAGCAGTTCTTTATAGCTGCCACTCCCCATAACTCCGCTTCTTCTAGAATGCCACCATGCTAGTAGCCCCGTCTAACCTTCCCGACAGTGGAGCTTCGAGCAATCACAGCGGCGGCGAGACTC